AAAATAATGTAAGTCAATTAAACTGTGTTTCACATAGTTTTGTCAACCGTTGGGCCAACCGTGGCCCAGAGTTCGGCCAACCGAAACTGAAAGTCTTTTAAACTACGTTTGGATAAGTTGTGCCAACCTTTGTCGCCAAAGTTGGCCCGACGGTTGGTTAAACTCTGCATTTAATGGTTGGCTTGCAAAGTCGGGCCAACTGTGGGCACAAGTACTTGCCAAAGTTGGGCAAACTCTGGCAACCAAAACTTTGCTTGCCAAAGTTAGGCCAACCTTGGGCCAACCTTCAAACTCTGGCGGCCAACCTAAATTCGCACCTGGGGTGAAGAGTTTCAAGCAAATCCGTTAAATTTTTTAAAAATATGTCGCCATATTACATCCGCCATTTTGATTTTATTCAATTTAATACTATTACTTATATGTTATAAATTGTTTTGCAGTGAAGTTATGTTCATATTATTCGATATATTATGTAATAAAATATTATAAAACATAATAATAAAAATATAACATTTTTTTTAAACGAAATATTGAAATATTCATAAATACACATTCAGTAAAGTATTGAAAATATACCGGTATTACATCAGTTCGTATTTCCAAATTGCCTATTGCCGCGTAGTAATTTTACAATTTTTATTTCAGCTAGTGAGACTTGAAAGCATTTAAGGTTTGAGAGTTCCATGCGAGCGTAGCATAGTGGTTAGCGTGCGAGATTTCGGTGCGTAAATATTCGGTTAGGCGTAGGTTCGTACCCCCAAGCGTTAGGATTTTTCAAATGTGAATATAAAAAAATACCGTTAAGTGTATAAAAAAATGTGTAAAGTGAACTGTCAATGAATTGTCATCCGTATTTATCTTTTGCAATTAATTATTATTTTTTTATTGATATTTGTTGAAATTATCATTTTGATCCGAGCCGGTTGTCAGGCGGTAGAATGCCAGCATTGCCAGCGCACATCTGGCTAGGAAATGAAAGATCCGCAGTCGGTACAGTGCCGGGTCCCAGCCGGTTGAATTATACACGGAACGGCTCTTCGCGGCCGGTTACCGGGCGGTAGAATGCCAGTTCCGAGACGGATGGCCAGCCAGCTCCTGGCCAAGTCATCTTTTGGTAGAATACCAGTTCTCGGGCGGTAGGCAGGCGGTTCCCAGCCACACGGAAAAAAAAAGTACGTGAATCCTTCCTTGAAAGTGCTTGACTTTTGGATAGAACACAAAGTACAAGGCTGTATCATATACTTTTTATTAGAAAATATAGAAAAGTCCTAGAGTTATTCTAGTACTAGTATGGGCAACAGTGTTTTTTAAATTTTAACGAAAAGTCATTTGTTCAGTTTTATAAAGTACGTGAAAGATTAGTTGACTGCGCTTGAAAATTCTGTAGAGCATGCGCAGTGTGCGTTGCGCGTTTCTACCCAAGGTAAATGCCAGCTGATCGTCTGTTTCCATTTGTGTTAATTTCAGATGTGAATATACTATTATTTTATGAAAAACAAATAGTGTTAATATATATTTGTCTTCAAGAATTGACTTTCAAAAAAATATTTTTTGTTTTGTGTTTCTCACAAAACAGAATGTTATGTAAGTCTCAGTTTTCAGTGAAATAGCATGTCTCAGAAGTCGTGAAAAATTTCACCATGTGGTATATAAGAACAATTCGATACGTACTTTTAAGTGTTAAGTGTGTGTTTATATTTAAGTTATACGCGAATATATGTGTGTGTTATAGGTTAGTTCATAAGTGTTGACGAACGTCGAAAAGTGATACAATAATTGTTCTTTGTTTGTGTGATTAATTATCCAAATATGTGAATGAATGAGTGAATTTCAGAAAAACGGTGTGAACAAGTGGAAATTATTTTTTTTATTTTACAGTTTTTTTGAAAGTCAATGAAATTCTCAAGCAAGGTACTAGAAATTTTCATTGACTGCTTTTGAAACTCTCATGCAAAAGTACTAGACTGTTTTTAGTATTTTGTGTCGTATCCAAAAGTCAAGTACCGAGTCAATGAAAAATTCACGTACTTTTTTTTCCGTGCAGTACCACTACTCCGGCGTCGGTACAGGCGAGGATCCGCGCCGGTTGCAAATTTCCCACTGGGCAGCTGTCGACAAGAGCTGTGATAGTACCTTTACGAATTTGAAGTCACTCACTCTCTTCCTCTTACTCTCTCTTACACTTTATACTTTTTAAAATGTAGTAGAAACTCTGTCCGGATTTACCCCAAGTTTTCAAAGTTTTGGGGTAAATTCGGACAACTTGTCATTATTAACTGAATTGACAAAAATTAAAAATCCAAGTCAATTTCTCTTTCGGGAGTAACTAGGAATAAAAAAAAATTTTTGTACGATTTTTAAGTTTGTTACTTTTCAAATGCGAGATGAAATACTGAAGCAGTCTGAAAATAATTGTCAACTTTTTTTGCATTAAGCGACAACTTTAATTATCCTATTGCCAATTGTCAAGATAAAAACTTGGCAATACTCAGAATCTCTTGAAGGTGATCTGAGCTGGAAATATTGACGTCGATCTTAATTTTTAATTTGTAAATTAAGCTCCAACCCCTCTTTCCGCATTTACCCCCTGTCCGGATTCACCCCAACTGACCCTATATTCATGTATAATTTTAAAACACATTTACCCTAATTAATCCTGTGTTAAATAATTTCCAAAATCTTTAATTTCCAAAAACTCGGATTATTTATAAATTAGTAATTAAAAATAATAAAAACTAAACTGGCGCAAAATTTCGATGGGCGGAATAAATGATGAAAGTCAATTTTCATTAATTAATATTTAAAGAGAGGCGGGAGTATCCTTTTAAGTGCATAAAGGAAAAACTATCGCATCGAAAATGATAAACGTTAATGTGTACAGCGAGCAAAGTGTTGACGTAAAGCGTCGACATTTATCGTTACATTGGTCTGAAGAGTCTTTTTTTCTCTTCCTTCATGTACTTAACCTAAAAACTAAGAAGCTTAAAGGGGGAAAAAATTTTTTCAAGATTTTCCTTTGAATTAAACGAGTGAAAAATCACTTTTGAATTCTTCTTTTTTAAAGCACAAGGAGGAAAAAGAGACTTTTTTCTGCAATTAGTTTTTTTTCTCACAGAATTTATATTGAATTTTGCGAGAGAGGAATTTAGAGAAAAATTATATGAAAAAAACCCTTTAGGATATTTGTTAATAATATGAAAAGTAAATAAAGATGCAAAAAGAAACTATTTTACTTTAATATTAAATAATAGATTCTTTTTAATTTAATTGTTAATTGTTTTTACTTTCCAGTAATTTATTTTATTTCTGTATTTTAATTTCATTCTATTTTCTGTTTGCAATTTAATTTTTGTATTCTATAAATTTTTTACTCTAATTTTTTGAAATTTAACTTTTCTTATCTTACAATTTTTTGTTTATAAATTTTTTACTCTGTGATTTTTCGTAATTTAATTTTTATTTAATAATTTTTTTGTAATTTAATTTTCCTTTTGCCTCAATAGAATTCAATAAAAATATTGTGTAAAGAAAAATTGTTAGCGTATAATAAAAATATTTTTTAGTTTTCTGACACTAAACTAATAATGTTGTTGACACATTTTTTTACGATGAATTTTCGTTTCGTGCAAATGGCGTGACTCTCCGATTTATATCAAATAACTTTTTTGTTTTTTTATTTTTCGTAAATTATAATACATTCATGCCTCGCATGCATTATTATATTATTATTTTTGTGTGTGTGAAAAAAATGTGTGCGGAAAAATAAAAATACAATAACGACACGCACAATTTGTGTTTAATGTGTTTTTTATTTGTGTATTTTTTCACTTTTTTTTATTGATATAACAAAACGCAAAATCATGCAAAATAAAAAACCAGCCGAATGTAAATTATATACACTGACAAAAAATTTAACCACTTACTGCTAAAATGCGTCTAACGATTAAGAAAAAAACAAAAGAAATATAATTGTCAGACGTTTGTCTTTTTGGCAAAATTTTCTCGTCCACCCCCATTGTCTTCGTTTTTGGAAAATTTGTTTAAAAAATTCGATAATTCTTTGGTAAAAAATCGTATTATAATCAAATTAAAACATAATTTAATGATATTATATGTAGTTTATATCTCTTTATATTATAATTAAATTATAATTTAATTTAAATTATTTTCGAAAAATTTTTTGTCCTCATCGTCTCCATAATATTTGGAAATTGAAAATTGGTTTCTTTTCGAAAATACAATTTTTACAAATCTCCCATTTTTTGGAAAATTATTCACAGTTAGAATAAATTATATTTTTAAGGGCAATTACTTCTTTTGGAACATTTTCTAAAAAAGAAACTGATTTTATTAATAAAAATTAAGATGAAAAAATGCAATTTCAAAAAATTGCTGTCAAACTGGAAATTGGAGATTTTCTGGGTTTGATTTTCGCTTGAAAAAATTTTAGTTATTAGATTTTAATTAGTATTAATTATTTTATGAACACAGTAATTGTTAATTAATTATTTTTAAGTGTTAAAATAAAGTAGCAAATGTTCAAATAAATAATTAATTTTCTAAAGAGCAGAAAAAAATCTGTTAAAATCTCTTTAGCTACAGAAGCTTGAAATAAAAATACGTAAAGGTATTCTTTTCACTAGAAATGTATAAATAAATTAAAATAGGGTTTGGGAAAATTTGTTCGTAATAGTTAAGAAAGCATTACATATTACTTAATAGTATCATAATAATAATATAATAATTAATTAATTAATTAATAATTTATAAAAAAATTATTTATTATCAATTAGTAATTCATGATATAATAATTAACATATTATAATACATTAAATATTATTATATAGTTAATTAGATTCTAATTAATAACTAATTAATTATAATAATATTATTGTTATTAGAAATATATTATTTGTTTTCGTTTAGAGTAAAGGAAATAATGTCTGAAATGCAGGTGTATTATTTAATATACGTGCTAGGCGATGTAAAAGCTGACTAACCTCAAACAATTTCCAAGCCATTGTGCCCGGCGATGATGAAGCACTCCACGACTTTGTGTGTTGTGACAAGTGGAAGTCCTTTTGCTAGGAAAAGGTATAATACTCTACCGTTGATAAGCGATCCGTGGCACGAGAAGTTTCGAGATTCCAATCTGTTGCTTCTTTTGCTGCACTCGATTTCAAATCTTCTTCCCCCTTTCCCTCACTTCTGCACTCTTGGCTAGAAAATAAAAAAACAAACCAAAATTCAACGACAATTTTCTCAAAAAATATTGTAAAATAAAATTATTTTCTACTAAATATTTCAGCATTAAAATAAATTAACGTATTTTTAAATGGAAATAAAAAATATTTCCATTAAAAAAGAAATTAACATTTCTTTAAAAATAAAAAATACGTCCATTAAAATAATGAACGTTTTTTTAAAAGGAAATCAAAAATATTTCCATTTAACAAAAATTTTCTTTTTCTTCAAGATTGTTAATAAAAAATATTAGCATTAAAAAAATTAACATTTTTTTATACTTAACGGAAATAAAAAATATTCGCATTAAAAACAATTAACGTTTTTAAATGGAAATATTGAAAAAGGAAATAAATTTTTAGAGTGACATTTTTCATTAAAATTAATTTGTCTCCTTTTATGCTCGTTAATTGTATTTGTGACAATAAACATTCCAATTGATATAAATCATATATAATAACACTTGAAAGGTAACGGGGGTTGAATTATTATTTTGTTTATTTTTCGCGAATAAAACATCTTTTTTTCCCGAATGGTAATTACTGTTGAATATACATTTTGACAAAAAAAAAGTAAGTGAATTATTATGTCAGATTGAGATAAATTGATTATTAAACACTTTTTCCCAACAGAAAGCTTTCATTTGTAATGTGGATAAAAATCACAGGGACTATAAAAACAAATTAATAACATGAATCACTGCATTCCATTTTTTTTGCAATTTCAAAATATTTGAACATTGGGATTATTTTTCTCAAATGGTCTGTTTATTAGAAATTTTGTTTTGTGTGAATATTAAATTTATTTGACGGAATTAATTATTAATTTTCCTTTTTATTTCACAAATTAAATATTTTTAATTATTAATTTTTTAATTCAACAAATTAATTATTAATTTTCTTTTCTATTTGTTAGGAAAAAGAAATTATTTTCTTTTTTACTTTTTAGGGAAAAAATTATTTTCTCTATTATTTTTGGGGCCGTTCATAAACTACGTCAAACTATTTTGCCTAATTTTTCCACCCCCCCCCCTACCCACGTCACAAATTTTACATGCTTTAGCGCCATTTTTTCTACAGAACGTCACAAAAAATGAATTCCACCCCCCCCCCCCCCCCTAAGACGTGACGTAGTTTATGGACGGACCCTTTTGGGTGAAAATATTATTTTTCCTTTTATTTTTTAGGGAAAAAAATGATTTTCTCTATAATTTTTTGGGGCGAAATATTATTTTTTAGAGAAAAAATTTTCTCTATATATTTTACTTATTTTTCAAAATTGGAAACTTTTTTTAAACCTTTTTGTCTCCGTGGATAATTTTTTTTTGCAGTAGTTTTTTATCAACAAAAAGATGAAACTGATTATTTTGTTGGAATATAATGTATATTATATTGTGTACAACAATGTTGAGTTCGTAATTAATTATTTTTGTTTTAAAAGTTACAACTACAAAACTAATATAGGCGAAAGGATAATAAAAGACCGTATAATGGAATGTGTGGGGACATTCAAAACAATTGAAGCGTTTACTCATAGTAAAATAAAAGAGTCTGGACCGCGAGTACGGCATATTGTTTAGATAAAATAGAAATTTACAAATTGAAATTTACTTTAGCGTGTGTTAATTTTGGTGAAAAAAATGATGGTAATATAAAAATTAAAAAAGTTAAATTATTTTCACTAAATAAAAAAAGTAAAAAGAAATAAAAACATTTTTTTATATTTCGTGCCTTTTTCTTTTATTTATAAAAATTGAAGTTATTTTTACTTTTAGTTATTACTTAAGTAATTTTATTTTTTTAGGAAAAAGGAATTTTCTGTTTTTTAGGAAAATAAATTAGTTTCCTTTTTCTTTTCTTTTATTCATTTTCAATATTATTTTTCTCATAAATATTCTTTTTTATATTTGTTTAATATTTTTTATTTTTGTATTTATTTACAATATACATAAATATTTTATTATTATTTTTATTAAAAATAATAATTTATAAAATATTTAAATATAAAATAAAACAAGAGGGACTTTTTATTTAGTTTATTCTTTTCAATAAATAGACAAGAAAGGTATTAAATTTTGATTCCATTGTTTTTGGGTATTGTTTATATTTTCTATTGTTTTTTATTTATTTTTATCCTCAAATTAATTAATATAATATTACCTAAAAACAATATTTGAAAAGTTATTTTTTTTAGTTTCATAATATTGAGAATTATTTAAATTATTAGCTTATTTTTTACAATAATAATAATTATTATTATAAGAAATAAGCTAATAATAATTTTCTACACTAATTAATAATTAAAACGATTTTTAATACATTAAATTTAATTAAAAGCTAAACCAATAATAATAAGAATTGCTAACAAGAATAACTGCTATTATTATTATTGTTTTTGTTATTATTTATTTATAAATTGTTATATTATTTTGGCAATAATAATTATAATTGTTATGATTTATTTATTTTATTAATTTAAAAAAAAATTTTTTATATTTTTTGCGTTTAGAGAAAAAATATTCAATTTGCAATTACGCTGGTTTTCTTACCGCTTTCATAAAATGAATAAAACACTATTTGCGGATATATTTTCGCTGTTTTCTCAGTTGGTAACAAAATAATCCATTCTTTGATATTAAACGCCAAACACGTTATTATACACTATTGACATATACACACACATAATGTATGTATTTTGTATTTACTACATCTGGTCATTTACATCACAAGACACGTGACACCAAAAACAACTATAATGAAAAACACAAGTTATTTAACAGTTCAATAGAAATATATTGTTAGTATTTACACACTATAGATGCGCGTGTATGATGAAAGAAAAAAAAATTTTTAATGTCATTTATGAGAATATCACTTTTTTTAAGTGACAAGAGAAAAATAATTTACTTTTAGAGAACGATTTATATTTGTACCAGTTATGGCTACGACTGATCGCATGACTACACACATGCCTAGTGCTTACTATACAGAAAATGGAAGCAAGGTCCGGTCACCTCCTTCCAACTTTCGCTTCACACAGAGGCGTCTACAATCCTCTCCTTCGTATCATTCGACCTTTTTTTCAAATGTATGGGTATTTTTATCTCGTGCAATACAATTTTCTTTTTTTTCCTTATGCGTGTTAAATTTCGTTTTGTACTTTTTGTGTACATATATTGTGTACACCTCTATTTTTACTTTTGTTGTAGTGGTAGTACAAAGTTAACTCTCACATCGTTTATTGAAAAATGAATTGGGAATTTTTTTTTCAATTGAACGTTGATATATTATTTTTCTAAAGTTCAGGAAATGAATTTTTTTTGCTCGATAAATTCAATACTTTTATTTTTAAAATATTTTTCTCTTGATAAATAAATTTTTTTTCTTTATTATAAACAGGTATGCATAAAATAATAATTATTTATTAGGGAGCGTTCACAAATGATGTCACGTTTTTTGGAGTAGGTACTAAACGTGACACAATGTATTTTTACATGTGAAATTGCATGAAATTGCGTGACAGGGGGGAGGGGGTCTAAAATCCCGAAAAATTGCGTGACATCATTTATTAACGCTCCCTTATATTGCAAAAAATTACTAATTTCAATTATTAATTACACATTTGCAATTATTAATAACAAATTTTCAATTATTAATTATTCAATAATAATAATAATTGACCATTTTTTTTATTAATTTAATTATTAATTTATTACTATTATTATTTTTTTAAATTAGTATTATTGTAGTATTATTATTATTATTATTATTACTAAAACGAGTTGGAAATTTAACAATATTCATTTATCCAATGCTTGAAGATCCGGTAAATAGATGAATATAATTAAAAATAATTTTCCAAAGACAAGGAAGGAATTCTCCTACAATTGAATTTCATGAGAATCGAAATAATAGGTTGTTTGAAGGATAGAGTTTTTTCTACACTTTTTTCTCTAATAATAAAAACAATAGATAATCATCTATTACAATAATTATGAAGGTGTTTACACCGTGTGGTATAAATTTATTCTCTGCGCGCATAAACGAAAATATTCTCAACGAGCATATATTCGCGCCTGCGCAAAATGTTTGCCTACAGCTTTGTAGTGAAAAGGTACACTCTCACCTCACTGCCTGTCTGCCTGCGCAGGCAGGCGCCATAAGAGTGAGAGAGAAAAAACATTTAATTTGAATTTTCTGACTCTCTTACTCTTATGTGTTACCATGTCAACCTGCAGGCAGGCAGGCAGGCAGGCAGTAGGAGCTGTGCTAGCGCCTAAAGGCTTTGCCTTGTCCACGTGTTTGCGCAGGCGCGAATATATGCTCGTGGAGAATATTCCTGTTTATGCGCGCAGAGAATAAATTTATACCACACGGTGTAAACACCTTCTATATCACGTAAGTATTTAAAGACGTGCCAAGAGCAATAAATAAAAAAAATTTTGCAAATTTGTTTTTCATGCATTTTAAATTTGAGGAAAACTTTATTTGAAGGTCGTTCAAAATTATTTCTTTTTAATTAAATAGTGTGATGTGTGTTTTCTAGTTAAACATTTATTACAAATTGAATACTTGATTTTTTAATCAGAAAAAAATTAATAATTGCAAATTAATTAATTGTTATAGTAGTAATTGATTAAATAGTACATTTGCAAACTAATAATTACTGATTTCTAAATATTTTTATTTATTTTATACACTCGTCTTTTTGCCTTAATACTAGCGTTTACAATAGTGTCCCCGAGGAAATTTTCTTACATACTTATTCTAAATTTTTGCGTCTACAGAACGACTTGAAAATTAGGAGTACTCGCATTTGCCTGGACCACCCGTCTAATAAGTTTTCTCGCCACACGCAGAAAAATAGTTGGATACAGTATACTATGAAGGAGTTTACACCGTAAGCCTTAAGGTCATGTTATACAGTATGAAGTTTTTCCATAGTAAAGTATATGGGGCACGTGACCACTGAATAAC